TCTTGTTCTTCTTTTTATATTCTCTTCTTCTTCTTCTTCTTCTTCTTCTTCTTCTTCTTCTTCTTCTTCTTCTTCTTCTTCTTCTTCTTCTTCTTCTTCTTCTTCTTCTTCTTCTTCTTCTTCTTCTTCTTCTTCTTCTCCTTTTCTTCCAACTCTTTGCTCTAACTACTACCGCAATTAGTCCGATTTTGAAAGAACCCATCTGTGTCTCTACGAGGTTCAAACTACAGCCATATCAAACAACGAATACTAACTTTTGCGCTCTTTGCTTTCGGTTCTTGTCTGCTTGCCTTTATGCTGCGTCGTTACAACAGTTTCATGATGCTCAGTTGCATTGGCATAGTCATTAGAGGCTCTACTAGCTTTCTTATTAAATGCTTTAGTATTTTGGGGTCTGTTATTGAATTGCCTGGGTGAGAGAACTCCATCTTTCGTAGGGGATTTAGATCGGTGCGATGCCCTTCCCTCTCCACTTGTCTTCTTTTTAGGTGGAAAGGTGGGACGACCTTCTCTGGAAGCCTGTGGCTGCTTCTCCTTTTCTGACGGTGAGATCTTGGCGTCTTTATTGTCCTCAGCAGCTGTTGATTTAGAATGGTTATAGACAGACACAACAATACCAAAAACAACAAAGGTACCAGATATCCCAAAATTTATAATCCAATGGAGGGGAAAAAAGAAAAGAGCTGGTCACATCGGTAGTATGGGGAGATAATAGATGGACTAGTGATGCAGCTCATTACAGAGGGTCACGTATGGAATATTCTGGAATTAAGTACATACTTAGATCGAAACGTACGTTGCCATTAACAAGGCCTGACCGATGGTTGAAGGTCTCTCTCTCTCTCTCTCTCTCTCTCTCTCTCTCTCTCTCTCTCTCTCTCTCTCTCTCTCTCTCTCTGTGTGTGTGTGTGTGTGTGTGTGTGTTTGTGTGTCTGTCGCTCTCCTTCCCTCGCACTCTCTTTCTATCTCCCCCCCCCCCAACCCAATTCTCTGCCACTCTTTCGCAGTTTTCTAATACTATCTGTTTCGCTTTCATATATGATAGTATAATTTTGCTTTATTGTCATAGAAATCGTATGGAAGTAAAAGCAAACCTTCTCCAGAGGGCGTTGCCTCGTCTCGATGTTCTGGCGTCGGCACGTTGTCATGGCAACCGGTCGCCTGGGCCGCCTTCTTCTGGACAAATCTATGTTCATGGAGAGGCCAGTTGTATTTCTTGGGAGAGCCACCGGCGACTGAGAAAGTGGAGGTATTACAGCTCTTGATATTTCATTCTGATAGCGGTTTTGTTTGTTTGTTTGATTTTGTTTTTGAATCACGAACCGCCAGAGCTATGGAGGAAACTCGAAAAAAAATCCACAACGATATAGAGAGAGAAGATCAAAGTTGCTTGGGAAAAAATCCTTTTTGTGGTCAATGTAGGTGTTTACTACGCTCCCATCGATATATTTTAGTTCATTTAAGGGGTGGGCTTCAACCCAGTCTGTTCGGGCCAACACGTATTGAGAAAGAGAGAGAGAGAGAGAGAGAGAGAGAGAGAGAGAGAGAGAGAGAGAGAGAGAGAGAGAGAGAGAGAGAGAGATCTACAATTCCAGCAGAAAGACTAATATACTCGTTAATAATTCTCCCCGCACGAAAAGCGACTTTGGGACTTCTGTGTGTGACGGTGAAGCGCCTAACCTCTATACCACAGGCGCTGGTGTTTACTGTAAGTGAAAAGGAAACTAAGTAAAGATGAAAATCAATTGAAAATATTAAACTGCGAAAGACAGGAAATCGAACGCGGTCAAAGTGTAGAAAGAAACGGTGCTACTATGAGTTTTATTTTTTAAATGCAACTTACAATCAAAAATAAATCTAGTATCAAAATCATGGTGCGTAGAAATAGCAGTAAATGATAAGCACACTCACAGCGACACTCAAATAGATACAGATTCATAGGCATAGCAAAACTGCTTTTTAAGGAGCAAGCGACCAATGGGGCCAAGAAGACGTCGAGTGAGAGAAAATGAGAAATAGACGGGGGGGGGGGGGGGAGAGGGGGAGGGGGAGAGGTTAAAAGGAGAAAAAGAAAGAGAGAAAAAATGAGAGAAACAGAGAGAAACAGAGAGAGAGACAGGGAGAAAGAGAGAGAGAGAGAGAGAGAGAGAGAGAGA